AAAAAGATGCAAAACGTATTAATATACAGTTAAAAGTCCATCATTTATGTCCTCCTTTACATTGTCCAAAGCAGTTCAGCAGTCCGGATTGGAGTCGTTGTCGGCCGATTTTGGATCCCGGACCTTACTTTGACAGCTCTGATTCGTTCATGTTGACAACGTAATCCCGCTCTGACTCAGCTTACTTCAAGTTTGACCTTAACGTCTTCCCGTAGTCACGTATACTTTGCATTCTGGGATGCAGAATTTAACTAGCCGTAAATTGAGCAGAAATTCTACACGCAGTCCAGAGCACAGCGCTCCCGCCCCTGACACCCAACCGGCCAATAAGCGGAGTGGACGTTCTCACTTGTTTTGTAGTGACGCACGGTTCGCGGACTTCGTTCGGAAGTTTCTGTGTGTGAAAGCAAAACATCATCCATGCGTCAGTCTGTTTTCTTCCGGGTCTCGGTTGTGCTGGATCCTGTACCAGTGGTCAGAAGTCGAGAGGCTGCGTAAACCCTGAGGTGTTAGGAAAGCAGACATATTTTAATAATGCTGCACAGGTAGAGCTAGACTGAAAAGATCACATGACTCCCTTACTTTTCAAGTTCCAAACACGACATCCTCTAGTCCTGTAGTAATAATAATATTAATAATAATAATAATAAAGTTTCACTTTCCTTTTCAATTTGCACTGATGGTCGTGTAGGTGGAGTTACGTGAAGCGATCTTAAATAACTTAAACGGCTAAATTCCAGCCTGAACAGTTATTGGTTGAGCTTTACATAACTTCCACTTACTACACGGACCGAATGAAGTGGAGCGTACAGCGTGCAGAGATGCGCCCGGCTGAGCTATCCCCAGTATGACCATGGAGGTGACAAGCACGGGCGGCAGGCACAACCCGCTGGCAACTGCCAGCTTTTTTTCAAGAGTTTTTTTGTGGTAAGTGTGATTTCACGGCGTGATCTAACTCTGACCGAGCGGTGAGGTAATCAGTTAAGAACAACAAACTGCTGATTTCATGCATACATGTTTGTTTTAATTGTGGTTTTTCTGAGTTAACTAGAACTATGAACCCGTTTGCAAGGGGATTTAATCTGTGCCAGGATGCATTTTTAATTGAAAAAAATAGTTTCTCATAACTTGATCACGCATTGAAAAATCAATAGGATTAGCCCATCCCAGCAATGCTGTGCCCCACGGACCACATGAGGCAAGCAAGAAATACTTCAAAATTTATTCAAAAGCCGGTGTTTACATGCTTCAGACCATAATAGTGGAAACTGAGACTGATTACTTTAATTCAAAGTGGGTAGAATCACTTCCATACACTGAAAAAACAAAACAAAACAAAAAACTCCTGGGTTATTTTATTAGGTCATAAAAAATACTAAATCCACAGAAAGTATGTGCAGCTTTTCGCTGTGTGTATTATTTCTGTGCATTTATTTGTGGAATAGATTTTGAACAGCAGAGTTGAGTCAGGTAGCTCTGGACTTGTTTGAGTTTTTCAACCATAACTCATGAATGGGAAAAGCAATCGTAGGCTTTAATGTAGCCCTCATGGTTTAAACTGGCTTAATACATAGTATGAGTACCACACAAACAAATACTACATAGATATGTGGTTGGTCTTTTGATGTCTATATTGAAAGCATTGAGTAACTGAGTAATAACTCACCTTCAGAATGTTCAAAGTGCACTTCTTTCTAGATACCAAGGGAGGCTTCACTACACATGACCAGAGAATTATTAAACTGGGAGAAGCAGAAAACTTTGCTATGTTGTTTCTGATACGTCTGCTTTTCCCATCTGCTAACCTGACATACACTGAATGTCATACACTGAGACACCAGGCTATGCAAACAGGTGCTTATTAACAGGTGCTTTTACTGCCAGAAAAACACAGAGTTAAATTAAGACGAACTGTCCCATTATACTGTTTTTTTATTCTCTTAAAGTTAAAGTCGGGTGTTTTTTTATTGTTAGTATTTTTTTGAAAAACGTGGTGGATATGGGATGGTGTGTGTGTGAGTGTGTGTGTCCAGGGAAGGCGGACTTTGACGGGCATGCTAATGTGTGTGATTTAAGCCAAGTTGATCTGTAAAGCTAATTTTTAAAAACCCAGACATCAGTAAAATATCATAAGTACAAAAAGCCGAGCAAACTTTTTTTGCTTTTTATCGTGGGGTATCGTGTGTAGAATTCTGAGGTGGAAAATGAATCGAATCCTTCTTTTGGAATAAGGCCGAAATATGGAAAAATGAGGGACAGGTGAAGCGCCATGAATGCTTTCTGTCTTTCTATTTCAGCTGGTTAACCCCTTTGCTGCAGCTTGGCCAAAAGCGAAGACTTGAGGAAAATGATATGTATAGCATCCTTAAAGAGGATCAGTCTGAAGCCCTGGGAGAGGAGCTACAGAGGTACTACACTGCTGTGTTGCATTATTGGATCACTAACAAAAGTCAAATCTGAGAGACTGAGAAGATGATGGCTCAGACATAGGTCCTTACAATTTTCTATGACCAGTTTGAGAAGAGATTTATTTTTGAGTCAATGCGTAATGTGGTTATGCATACTACCCAAATAACCCATTTCACAACATGTGATTTAGTCAAATATTGCCTTGAATAACATTTAAAAAATTCTTCTACCCAGGAAAGTTATGGGTTAAGACCCTATGGTTTTGTTGTCACTTCCTTTACATGTAGCTGGATGGTTGGCCTAGCACCAGAGGTTTTTGAGCTCTTGATCACTTTTAGTACTATTTATGAACTGGTCTTTTAAGCAGTCCAGAAGAAGAAGCGTTGTTATCTATTTATGATGCAAAAAAAGTCATTTCTGGCCAGTCTACCACAGTAGAATAATACCCCAAAATATTTTTCTGGAGTCTGCCATCTATTGATGATATTTCTGTTTGTATTCACCTCTTCAGGGGTTCATTTCCCCTGGTGAATTGTACAAATATGATCTGTAGACAAGCAGGTAGCTGTTGGTGCTTTGCCAGGAGAGACTGCATGCTTGTTCAGTAGCTGTGTGTTTCTTTGAATTGCCAGGGAGTGCTGCCGTAGTGTAAGTCACACCTGATGTGTTATTCTGACAGGTCTATCTACTTATTCCTGTTTGATGTATTAACTCCTTTCACAACAGGCCAAACCCAACCTTAGGCCTCCCTGAAACATGCCGATGCTCCCAACAGGCATCCTGTCACTAAAATAACACTAAATGTTCAACAGAAAGAGCTGTAATAAAGCTCATTACTTTTAAATAATTCAGTTCCATTTTATCACAACAACAGCCAACTTAAAGCACCTTGTATTGTAAGGTAAGACCCCATAATACTACAGAGAAAACCTTAGCAAGTCAGTGACCCCCTTTGAGCAAGCAGTTGGTGATGGTAGGAAGTCCACACTTAAATTTTGCTTTTATTTTTAACTTAGTTTTAATAGTTTTTAATAGTAATTGTTATAAAATTGTTAAAGAAGTAGCTTCTTTTTTGCCACACGTGTAAATGTTCCCAGCTCTCTCAGTCAGAAATGCTAACCAGCTCTCTGTGCCATTCATTCGATGAAGATGTAAGTGGCAGTGTCACTGGTGGATCATTGAATTGCTGTTTGCCATTCCATTAACCTGATACTTCCTGTAACAAATGAGTATGTTGCCACTGTGCGGCCGTATGGTTCTCATTTGGAAGGTTTATTTGCTAATGAATTTTTTAAAATGTTGGTGCGACTATATCCTAAATAGTTACATTGCCATTTGTTGTTCTAGATTGGTCTAAAGATCAATGTTGTGTCTAGATTGACATAAAATGTTGTTTGCTTAACTTCAACTTATAGTGTGTACTTCTGTTTGTACCAGAGAAGTTGTACCTTTCACAGTTACCTCATAGGTTAGCCTAATCCAATAATCTCCATGTTTATCTTGCAGATTTTGGGACCGTGAAGTTAGACATGCTACAAAGGAACTCCTGAAGCCAAAACTCACCAGAGTCCTTATAAAGTGCTATGGAAGGTCCTATGCAATGGCTGGGATATTTGTTTTTTTCCTGGTATGTCGACTGGTCATGTGGAGGTGTCAGATGAGTTATTTGTAATGAAATAATAAGCATGCTAATGTACTCAGAGACCTTTCTTGTAACAAAAATTGGCTCAAATATCTAGCAGCCATTTGAACCCATTTCCTAAAGTCTGGGAAAGGATGAATGTAAGCTTGCATTCATTGTCTTTGTCATAAAGGAGACAATCAAAGTGATCCAGCCACTTCTTCTGGGGAAGATAATCCTTTTCTTTGAGAATGGTGACCCCGATGATCAGAGAAGTCTTGGCATGGCGTATGTTTACGCTGCTGCGATGTCCATCTCCACGCTTGGACTGACTATCCTCCAACATCTCTACTACTATCATGTCCTAAGAACAGGCATGAGGATTAGAGTGGCTATGTGTCACATGATCTACAGGAAGGTCAGTGAAAAATCTGTACAAATGAAGAGTTGTCAGCTTATCTCTGTCAGAAATATGTTCCGATGGATCCATCTATACTTGTCGGTGTTGTGAAAATTGTTTTTTGAGCAGTTAAGTAAAATTCCTCTCATCAGGCTCTCAGACTCAGTGCTAAATCCATGGGACAAACAACCACTGGGCAAATAGTGAACCTCCTTTCAAATGATGTTAATCGTTTCGATGAGGTAAGAGAATCATGTACTCAAACACATGATGAGATTATTTAATTGTATTTGATGACATTTTTAAACCAAGTTGTGCCCTTAACATCAAGATCTTCACACAGATTTGTAAAAAATTGTAAGGTTTGGACAAGTTGTCCAGCATGTTTTCTGCACGTCAACAATCATGCTCTCTATAGATTACACTTAATCTGCACTACCTGTGGGTGGGACCTCTCCAAGCAGTGGTGATCATTGTTTTCCTTTGGTATGAGATCGGTGCCTCGTGCCTGGCAGGTGTAGCAGCCATCGCACTCATGATGCCGATACAAACCTGGTTTGGAAAACTCTTTGGCATCTTCAGGTATGGACGAAGAATACAGAAGCTGGACATTATTGTTTCTGACGATAACGTTCTTTTATTATGCGCATTGTCTGCCTGTTTTTATACAATTTTGATTAGATGTTTTTTTTAGCCTCTAATGGACACAGTGTAAATGGTGCTTATATTTGCAGGAGCAAAACAGCAGTCCTTACTGACAACAGAATCCGTATCATGAACGAAGTGGTGTCTGGTATCAGGATAATCAAGATGTATGCCTGGGAGAAACCGTTCTCAGCTCTGGTGACTGAAGTCAGAAGGTAAGAACTACAGGTTTTATGAAGAATCAGCTAATTTTTTAGAGGAATTTCTTCTTCTTATAATGTGCTCCCATAATAATTATGAGTATAAAACAGTGATTCAAAAACTGTCAAAATAAATATTTTAATAAACTGACTCGTCATCCTGCAGTTTTATGATTTGGAACGACCAATATGATTAATGCTTCGACACGTGGAAATGAAATGAACTGAAAATATCAGACATGTCTTTAGCTGTCTTTTAAAATACTGAACAGGACCGATAAACTTCAGGGGCATAAAGAAAGATCATACCACAGATCAGGCTTGCTCCATCAGCCCAGGAACTTTTCTCATTTGCCAAACGAATGAGAAATGTAGGGTTCACATAATGTGTGGTTTGTCTGGAGGCGGAGATCCATGTTGAACCACTGTGCTCTTCTGGAACAGCGGAGAACTGGTCCTATACATGTAAAAATCAAAGGAACACTTTTTGATGAGATTATAGCATCAAGTCAGTTAAACTTATGGGAATAATACAAACTGCTAAGTACCATTTTGAGCTGCTGCAGTGATATTTCAACAAAATATATATTTTTCAGCTCTATAGGTTGATAATTTTCATTTCGATGAAACAATCTGACATCCTTTCATTCCTTACACAATACACAGTCCATAGTGTAGTCAGCATTGATATCCAGCATGATTTTTCCTATATTTTTTTAGTTAGAGTATACAGTTGAAAACATCCTTTGGTGTGCCTAATGTTTTATGTGTGCTTATGAGTCTCCTCATCAACAAGAACAAAGAGCTTGAGCATATAAAGTTAGGCATGTCTGGGAAAATGTAAAGAGATTTCATTAATAGCGTGATCTGTATTGGATTTTCTTATCTCTGCAGAGCTCATCAATTTCTTTAAATCACTGCAATCACAGTTTTTCAGAGAAACCCCTAAACGCCCATGGGAGTACATATGGATTAGCTACAAGAAGAATTAATCAGAATTAACAACAAGGAGAATTCCTTATTGCTTTGATGTACTGCTCTTAAAGAACAGCTTAGATTTGTATTAATTCATTAATCCTCAACTTTCTCAGCATTGATGTCTGGTTAATGATGATCCTTTATGTTTGCTCTGCACTTTATATGTTAACTGTCACTTATTGTTCCCATCAACACCTTCTGAGATTCTTTGAAAGAAACCCACTCAAAATCAGTCCTTGTGACATCAAGCAGTAATCCATTGTAGCCTTCAAAACTTTCCATCCATCTTCAGCTTAAATGTACTTAGAATAACCACAGAGGAAATTCCACAGAGGAAATTTGTCACTACTAGTGACCAGCATTGAATGGGAGGCTCTGCCTTCTTCATTCTGATTTTAAATACTTACCACGTGTAAGACAGAAGTCTCTATTGGGGTGATATGGTATAAAGAGGTTTGCTTTACAGAAGCCAGTATTTTAATATTGGCCATGTACAGACAGAGAGTGAGGAAGTCGGTGAAGCTTGAACTTTTGGTGTGGATTATACAACAGCTCAACATTATTTTTCTGTGTGAAAACTTGGGTTGCATTGTAGTCATGATTAATTCAGGGTTACAGTTTCAGGAAGAAAAATGTTTTACAGTCAACCTTCAAGTCTCAATGAGTCTTTGATAATAAAGACTTCTTAAGATATCCACAGTTACAAAACTACTAAATATGTAGTAAATATGAAGTAATGTGTACATTTGGATTCTAACACAGTGTTGATTTATGGTGAAATGGTTTGTCTATTTTTATATTTTAAATGGATTTTAAGTTGGTTTTTTTTTTAATGATTTGTAGAGAAGAGACAAAACCCTTCATCTTGATCAAAACACAAAACAAAGAACGTTACGTTCTTTCCGTCAAGCGCAAGGCCTCAGGCTTCGGGGCCTCTGCAGATGCTGAATCATTACATTCTTGCGAGAGGCCCCACACTGAATGTCCTTAGAGGCCGTACCAAAGCTTTCGACAAACAATTTTTTTTAAAGCTGTTTTGCTAATGTTCTAAAGTAAGGTCAAATCTATAATTAACTGTCATTTTCTGCTGAGTCAAGCTAAATGTATTCCCAGTATTAGCATTCCATCATTACCAAAGGATATGTTGACGCTATGCTGGACTGAGCTTTTGGTCAAGCAAACTAACACATGATCTTGGTGTTGCATGAGATACATGCAACACCAAGATATATTGCCAAAAGTTCTTGCTCGTTTGCCTTCACACGCATATGAAATTGAGTGACATCCCATTGTTAATCCATAAGGTTTATTATGATTAAGGAGTATATTTATGGGAATTTTTAACCATTTTTCCAGAAGTGAGATCAGACACTGATATTGGATGAGAAAGTCTGGCTCACAGCCTCCGCTCTAATTATTCCCAAAGATGTTCTGTCAGGTTTAAGTCAGGACTCTGTGCAAGCCAGTCAAGTTATTTCACATTAGACTCATTGATGCATGTTTATTTGGATGTTGTTTTCTGCACTGTTGCACAATGATGTTGGAACAGGAAGAGGCCGTCCTCAAACTGTTCCCACAAGGTTGGGAGCATGAAATTGTCCAAAATGTCTTGTTATGCATCAAGAGTTAGTTTCACTGGAACTAAGATGAGCCCAACTCCTAAAAAACAACTCCAGATCTCACCGCTCCACCTAATTTTACACTTGGCACAATGTAGTCAGGCAAGTACTGACAGACTCGATACACGTACACTACCGGTCAAAGGTTTTAGAACACCCCAATTTTTCCATTTTATAATTGAAAGTTATGCAGTTTAATGTTGCATTGCACTCTGAAGTGAAAGCATAGTACAAATAAGCAATTCAAGTAAAACAATTATCATGGAATCAATTTATAGACCAAAATGTATTCTATAATTCCACCTTTGGCAGCTGAACACACCCGTGGCAGTCTTTCTACAACAGAGATCAAATATTCTTCAGAAAGTTCTTCCCATATCGGTTGCAGAGGTTCCCATAAATGTGTGGCACTTTTAGGTTGCTCTGCTTTCACTCTTCTGTCCAGTTCATCCCAAACCAGCTCGATGGGGTTTAAGTCTGGAGACTGGAGACCACTCCATGTTTTCAAGCTTACCATCTTGTTCTTTGTTCCTGAGGTAGTACTGGCATAGCTCGGACTTTTGTTTTGGGTCATTATGTTGCAATAGGATGAAACCCTGACCAACTAGAGGGTATTGCATGGCGCTGCAGAATGCTGTGTTAGCCGTTTTGGTTCAGGGTGCCTCTCACTCTGTACAAGTCACCGAGCTGGAATCCAGCAAAACAGCCCCAGACCATCACACTTCCTCCTCCATGTTTGACAGTTGATGCCACACACTGTAGAGCCATCCTTTCGCCTACTTGAAGGCGTACGAAGATCCTGCGCGATGAACCGATGATTTCAAATTTTGATTCATTGCTCTATAATACCTTCAGTAGTGCAGTGGCGATGTTTCATGACCCAGGCAAGCCTCTTTGTCTTATTCTGACGTCTTAGCGATGGCTTTCTTCCTGCAGCTTGTCCTGTCAAACCTGCAGCTCGAAGTCTTCTCTTCACAGTTGAAACTGAGACTTGCTATGACCATTATTAAACTGTGCTTAAAGCTGTTGCCCTGTTAGCCACCGATCACGGAAGCTGTTAACTCTCAGAAACCTTTTTCTCACCACAAACTACTTTTTGCAGTACAGTGCTGTTCAGCTGATGCTCACGAGGGCATGGTACCACAGTGTGTTCCAACACTGCTTTCATGCAGGCAGAGGGGGTTGTAAGTAATCCAGAAAAGCTGGAACACCTGTAAGAATTAGTAGCACCAGCTTTCAAGGCCTGATCAACCTCCATTGCTGCACAACAGCTTTAAATTGTTAACCCACTTTGTGTTCCCTGAAAAATACCTTTTTGTATAATTTGAAATGTACATTATTTTTCATTTTTTTCGAGAGTAAAAAAGGGTTATATAAGAATCAGTCCATTTACCATCCAGTGACCCTGTTCGGTGATTTTACGTTGCCTACTGTACCACTTCCTGGCAAAAAAGCAGAAAACTCAGAACCACTGTACTGCCAGATAAAAAAAAGTTTAATGCAATTTGTAGAAGCACAGCGAGGATAAACTTGACCTACGTGTATCGACTAGAGAAACTTCACGAGGGTCTAACATTCAAACTGAGAAGCTTAAATACAAACTTAAAAAGACAATAACAACCACCTGTGTGAGAGGAAATAAAAAAAACAAAACAAGAAGCATCACTGTAAATATATCAAGAATCACATATTATACATGATAAACCTTGTTAACTCAATCTTTGTAGGCTAATAAATATAAGACCACAAAATACAAAAAATGCACAGAAAATATGTGATAAAGACATGAAAACTGTGGGAAGGAAAAACACAGGAAGGAAGCTCTGGGAGAACCAGGTTCAGGGAGGGGCAGCCATCTGGTGCAATTGGTTGGGGGTTAGAGGAGGAAGACAGGATAAAGACATGGTGTGGAAGAGAACCAGAGATTAATAATAACTAAGGATTAACTCTAGAGTGGTGTATAAACAGAGGGTGAAAAGAGGTTAGTGAAGAAGAAACACAAGCATAAATTAGGTAGGTTTCAGGGCCAGGGTCACCTGATCCAGCCATAACTATAAACTTTATCAAAAAGGAAAACTTTAATGCTAATCTTGAAACCCAAACTGGGGGCTGGTTCAACAGAAAAGGGCCCTGAAAGCTGAAGTCGCTCTATCTACTACAATAACCAAGGAACCACAAGTAAGCCTGCAGTCTGAGAGCAAAGTGCTCTATTGGGGTGATATTTAAGATAAGATGAGGCCTGATAGTTCAAGGTCTTGTATGTTAGTATGTCTTTGCACTCTTCATGGTCTGATGAAGAAAATAATTATTTAGACGAAAGTATTTCAGTTGTAGTCATTTGAGCATTCTTTTTTTTGACAGTGGTGTGACACTCTAAATAAAGTCTTCTGATTTTACATATTAAGCCTCCCTATGTTCTTCTTTACTCCTAGGAAAGAAATTCATCAGATATTAAAAAGCTCCTACCTGCGAGGACTCAACATGGCTTCATTCTTTGCCAGCAGCAAGATCACAGTGTTTGTCACCTTCACTGTCTACGCCCTCCTGGGCAACACCATCACTGCCAGCAGTGTGTTTGTCACTGCATCCCTGTATGGTACAATTAAGCTCACAGTGACCCTGTTCTTTCCTCTGGCCATTGAGAAATTGTCAGAGACTGTAGTGAGCATTCGCAGGATTAAGGTAATTCTGTTCTTTCATAAATTGGAATACAAGTAACAAAACCGTAGCTGATATCTGTCATTAGTACCATAATGACCGATTTACTACTTTTCTATTGTCTAAAAAGTTCAGAGAACTTTACATAACAAAAATCGTGTTGACTTAATGTTACGGTCTTCCCTGAGCCTGGTTCTGATGGAGGTTTCTTCCTGTTAAAATGGATTTTTTCCTTCCCACTCTCACCATGTGCTTGCTCATCTGAGTAATCTGATTGTTGGGACTTTCTCTGCATTGTTGTATTGTCTCTTTAGGTTACAATACAAAGCATGTTGAGGCAACTGTTGTTTTGATGCTTGTTTGGTGCTGTTGAACTAAAATAGAATTGAAATTCATGATGTTTTCCATCATGGAGAATCCATCTGTCAAATAGATCCTAAAGTGATGTCCAGATTGATTGCAGATATTGTAACTGTCCTGCAAAAAAATGGATAAAAGATTGGTGGTGACATCAGAACTCTTTTTAATCTTAAATGTAGTTGTTTCTAAATTTGTGGATAGGTAAAGCAAGAGAACTGTGCTAATTTAGTTTATGTTTCAAAGCACGTGTGTCCATTAAATATCTTTCAAGAATTTTCTCGTCCTGGAAGAGCTTGAAAGAAAAAATCTCACACTGCCTTTGGAGGGAAAAATGGAGAACGCTATTGAAATTGAGGCACTGACCTGCTACTGGGATAAGGTAAATGTTAAAGTTTAAAACTCATATTGATAATGAGTCATCTTGTATAATTTTAAATTCAAAATTTTTGCATTAATTAATACATTCTTCTTCTTTTTTTAGAGTTTGGATGCACCATCTCTGCACAATGTTTCCATCACAGCAGAGTCACACCAGCTTCTCACTGTGATCGGACCAGTGGGGGCCGGAAAGGTCCGCAACTGACTTACCATTTAGCCTTTAGGTCAGAACATTGAGTATCAAAATTGTGTTTTCAGGGTCACATGTTCATAACATCTGTGTTTTCTTCAGTCATCTCTGCTCAGTGCCATCCTGGGAGAGCTGCCTTATGACACAGGCACATTAAAGGTCATAGGTCAAATAAGCTATGCAGCCCAGCAACCCTGGGTGTTCCCTGGAACCATCCGCAGCAACATCCTTTTCGGGAAACAACTGAATCCTAAAAAGTATGAGAGGGTCCTCAGAGCCTGTGCTCTGAAGAAGGTGAGATATAATGCTGCAAGTTAACCAGTTCATGTTAGGCCAGCAGCTCAAGGCGAACCGCTCTTTACCCT